CTGCTCTGTAGGCTGCCCCCCCATCCCTCCTTTACCTGCTCTGTAGGCTGCCTCTGTGCTGCTCCCCTGCGGTTTCAGTCATGAGCGAGAGGCAGGGATAAGCTGTAGCTTCCTGCCTTTTAACATTCACAGCCCCACCTACTGGCCGGCGCCGGTATTGCAGTGTATTCTCACACAAAGCAAAAATAGCAGCACAAGCTGAAAATTCCAGGGGGGTGGCAATTGCCCCCTCTCGCTATGTGGGCTTATGATTATATGTTGTTATTGTCACACTTGTTTTTGTCTTGTATGTAAATCGCACTAGTCTTGTCATATGTACGATATAATGGAAAAAAAAAATTTCTATTAAAAATAAAGAAAAAAAAACCCCAAAAAAACCTGCCACATGGAGGCCATGCGGCAACCAGGACAGGCCACTCCCTACTACACAGGTTTTGTTTTTTGTTTTTTTAACATACAAGACAAAGGACCAACAGCCTTGTGAATCAGAAGATGATTTCAACAGAACGTCTGATTCAAAATCTGTACAAATATACACACAGTTTCAACAGTCACACCAATCTCCTTATCACCAGCACCACATCGCACAGTTACTAGGCCCAAACACACACGTGCACGCACACACAGGATCCTCACATGCTCAACAATATCACGACGTCGCACACACAAGTAAAATCAAGACTCACCAAACACTATATACTAATCAATGCAACTATTAAGCAAGTCATACAATTGTCCACACAATTAATCAACATTAACTAACTGATAGCATAACATTTCAACAATTTCATCTCTACAGTCAGTGGTTATGGTACGGTTAGTAACTATTATACAGTTTAGACAATTATGACTTTAAAATTACAATATCAGTTAGTACACATGCAAGGTTAAACAGTAATTTTAGTATTTTTCACGTAATATCAGTAGTTATGGTACATGTTAGTGGTTATGGTACCGTGCGCTATTATACATTATACACACAATTTACATGTCCGCTAAACGGCAGAGCTCAAGCTTTCTAGCAGGACATACATTTCACCAATTACAGCGTATTTTACAACATTTACAGCAAACCCAACTACTCTAATAGCCAGCACCTCGAGAACTATCGACCTATTTACACCAGGATTCGGTTAGTCTATGCTGCCCAAGCACCACATATAGTGAACTAGTGGGCGGAATTTACAACAGTACACATTTAGTCTATCTACTCTATCAATAGTCTAGTGCAGGGGTAGGCAACCTTTTAGCAGCACTGTGCCGATATAGGATTGTGATGTCCCGTAGAGTGCCGATCCAATTTTTTTAAATTGAGGTGTGTATGCTGCCGAATTCTGTTTGTGTTATTTTTACTGTAATTGCTTTGTATCATTGTATTTGTGCGTATATGAGCTATTATATTGTATATGTTCATTAGTAGTTTATGGTATCGTGTATGATACATATGAATGTGGGCTGTGTATGAGGGCTGCTTGTGGAATTGTGTGTGGATGGATATGTCACATTTTGTGTTTGGTAGTGCGTGGGGGCTGTTTGGGATATTGCATGTGAGAGGCTGCATGTGGGGTTGTGTGCATGTATGTGTATTGTTAGTGGTGTTGTGTTTGTGCAGATTGTGTGTATGCTTGTTTGTGGGCTGTTCGTATTATTTGTATGAGGGGATGGTTATTGTGCATTTT